TACCACCAAAATCAATCTATTTCAGCAGTATTAGGTACATAGTATCACCACCATCCAAATACCCAGATTTAGTATCTACTTTACTAAGTAAAGATAAACACATCTCAAGCTGATATTCACCGTGGTGACAAGTTAGTAAATGTTATTTCTTTCAACCTCCACATTCTCTAGTGATAACCCAATCCAAGAGCTTAACATACCCTCCTCCTTCTAGATAGGTATAGAGAGTTTAGGCCATGATAGATGATTGTCTGTAGAGGAGATATGTAGTAGCAGCAGCCAGCAGTTTAGAAAAAAAAACATGCTTTCAAATAGAAACTCTCTTTTCTCTTTTGCTTTGCATGATGCATATGGTTATGTCTCCAAGAGGAAGCACTCTTCTCCAGCCAATCAGTACATAGTATTTTTTCTTTGTTCAGGGACATGTATTTTTGGCCATTGTTGTTAATGTATGACATACCTTTTTCCATAGTCAAATTTTGTTCTTATATTTCTATTTTATGGTATAAATATTTGATAAATTTTCAAATTTCATATTGCATTTTTTTGGTGAAAACATTTTTGGATAGTATCAATACTTCTTTGGTAGACAGACATACCACTTTATAGGGTCCACTATACTAGATTTTTTTTCATCTCTTCTTTGGGTTATGATCTTGTTATGTCCCTTGAATCAGAAGATGGCTTGTTGCTGCTTATGTACCTTTCCATAAATGCAGTTTTTAGTTAGACCATCCTTATATAAGACATCAACTCTAGTAAGCAGGTTGAAAGCGGGGGTGGGGAGTACTACTGAATATCATCCTGTCAACAAAACCTTTGAATTTTTTCTATTCTATCTGAAATTTTTTTTATCATTTCACCCCAAGCAAGGCAATAAACCACTAAGATGCAAGGGGGTTACTAAGTGTGAAAGTATTGAGAAAAAGAAAAACATTATTAATGAAAAAGAATGATAAAAGAACAGGAATTAAGACAACAAAAAATAACAATTGACATTGCATTTAAATTTTTAAAGATCAAAGTTGAGCAAGAGTCCAGAAGAGAGTTCTGCAAGTGTGAAGTGTGAGAAAAGAAACTGTTACCATAGAATTTATGGTAACATCTAGCCATTTCAACTTTAAAATGATTAAACCTAACTGCCAATCTCATACTGTGCTTAAATTCATAAAGTCGATGTACAAAAGAAGAAAGCTCATTAGAACAGTTACTATGAAAATATTTATAGAAAAGGCACAGGGAAGCCACATTACAACAGTGGGAAAGTTACTGAAGCTGAGAAGCCAGGTCAGGATTGATAACATTGCAGATTTTTAATTTTATCAAGAATCTCTAAATATATAGCAGAAGCACCAGACCATATATGGCAGCAATATTCAATGCATGAATGAATGGTAGAATTATAAATGTGCAAGATGGATTCTGGCAAGTAAAGTTGTCTAGTGCGATGCATTGGACCAACTTTCCCAACAGTAAGCTTAGCAATTGATTCAATATAATCTTTCCAATATAATCTCTTATATAAGAAATGTTTGCTGTATAGTCATACTGAATATTCTCTCAATAAAGGACTGATAACATTATATTGGAGGATGTTGTTAATACAATTTGTTTTTGTCCCCTATATATCTTATAAAATTCATCATCTGTTCACATGGAAACACCTCTTAATTGTTAATTTTCCCAGGCCCACCCTGACCCAGGGTGGTAGCACTTGTTAGAGTCCCATCTATGGGCAAATAGTTAATTGAGGTCAATTTGTATCGGGGATGAGGATAAACTACATCCATGTCCTGAGTAAGACATTAAGCTACATCTTACAGCAAGGCCTCTGTTTGGGGGTTTGAGGAGTGTGGAACTACTTCTTAATTGTTGGTGTTCTCAGGGTGGTAGCACCTGTTAGAGTCCTAGCTATGAGAAAATAGTTGACCACCAAACAGGGGTCAAAATGCTGTGGAAGTGTAAAAATAGGTATTAATACCAGCAATACATTTTTGAGGGAAAAATTATTACCAGCAATACATTTTTGTAGGAAAAATTATTAACTAGCAATGCTTTTTTGAAGGAAAAATTATTGCTAGCAAATTAAAGGAAAATTTTTACAAACAAAATATTACCAGCAATACATTTCTTTGGAAAAATATTATCAGATATATATTTTTGGTAAAAAATATTACCAGCTATACATTTTTTGAAAAATATTACCAGAAATAGATTTTTGAAAAAAAAAATATTTCCAGCAATAAAAGTCTTGTTGGCATTAAATAACCCATTGAGGTTGATATCCCATAAAACAAACCAAATCAATCATCTATTCGCAGACTAACATGATACAAGCTGACCATATCACACTCATCATCTTTTGAACAGCTATTATATAATTTAATCAGTAGGCATCATGCCAGTGTATCTGGTTAATTGAATAGAATATTTGATGTTTATCAAGAGAAGCAAACTGAACAAGGGTTAAGGTTACTTAAATGAAAAATTCTATTTCTTTGAAAGCCCTAAATACATGAGAAAATCCTGTTAATGATCCTTTACAAATCATGAATGCAATCATTTCAAATAAAAGTTTATCACATTTTGAAGATATTCAAATTCTATAAACTGAATTGCATTCCAAATTTGAGAGCAAACAGAATTTTTTAAAAACAAGCAAAGAACAATATTTTAAAAGATAAAATTAGAAATTTGGCCTGAACTATGCTTAAAACATGAAAAAAGATTTACACAGAAAATTATTCAGAGTATTAGAGATAATCTTTCATGGTTCTTTTGTGTTTAACAATTATTATTATTATGACAAAATTAGCTTTCCATACATTTCATTTTTGGAAATTCTTCAATGAAATATTTGTATATATATATATATATATATATATATATATATATATATATATATATATATATATATATATATCAAAACCAAATTTCAAAATTTTGAAACTTATCATATATAAATGTGGAAATCTTTGTATACCAAATCAAGAACTAATAATCTTAGAGGATAGAATTCTTTTCAGAAACTGGGTAATCTTGGCTCTTTACAACTTCCAGTCCTTTGTAGCACCTAGTAAGTTTTGTCTTTTGCTATCACTCCTGCTCACTGTTGTGCCAACCACAAACTCATTAGGTAGGTTATTTTGCTTCCCTCTGTCCCTCTTGCCTTCAAGATGTCCTGTGAATGTTAAATTCTCCAAACCCTAGAAATTTCAACTATTTCTAATTCTAAGAAGAAGAGTCTTTTAATTCCCATTTTCTTAAAACTTTGTCATTGCTCACATGTTCAGTCTATGATATTCTCATTATCCTTCTATAGAACTGCATTTCTATCATCTCAAGTTTCTTCTTCGTCTGTGAGGAGATTGTTCAGCATTCACTGCTATGTAGGAGGTCCAGTATTATATAACAGTTGAGAATTATTTTGTTTATTTCTAATGAACTTTTCCTGTTTCTTACTACATTACTTATTTTTTGGAAGGCATCTTTCACTATTTCAATAGTCTATTCTAATTTGTCTCACTTTAAATTTCCATTCTTATTTGGCTCATTGTCATTGTCAATATACATCTCTTTGCAATTTGGCTCATTCACACATCTGTCATTGCAATTTGGGGGCCACTTTAGGTTTCTTTAATTTATTAAAAATTTTCCACTAAGCAATGATCATATTAGTGTATAAGTGATGCTTTTTATCACTAATTAAAAAATGGAAATAAATTATCAGTTCTGCAGAAAGCCTGAGAATAAATTTTGAGAATTTTTCTTTTTATTTAATTTAAAGCATTATTCAAAGATTGTCAACACTGTATCAGATTTTATTATACAAGTCAAGGTTTTCATAATAAAATTAGCATTAAACAACCAATTTTGGTAAAAGCTTTAGGATATATTTAATTTTATATGATAAACATATCAGTAGGTAATAAATACTGACAAAGACATTGATAATAACTTGTTTGAGGTTTATCAAATTTTATTATAAAGAGTGTAAAATAATTTGTTTAAAAATAAATCCAAAAGATACAGGATCTTGAAACTTATGTTTGATTAACACACTCTTCCATATACCTGAATAAATTACTATTTCACATGTTGATATGAGCTCCATGAAATTCTATAACCTTCATTGGTTTGTCAACAATTTATTTTATTAATGTTTTACTGTTTTGGCTTGTACGAATATACACCCAAGGTTAAAGCTTCTTTGTTGGAACTTATATCACTCAAAAGATGACTTGTTTAAGAACTTAAAATAATTCTTTGCATTTATCTTGATAATACCATTAACTTTGAGGGTGACCTATAATTTTAATGCCTACCAAACCACCTGAATACATTATGCCACCTCCCTGTTGTGTTCTAAACCATGTTGATTGACTATTTTGATGGCAGGACCAACTAGACCAATTCAATCACCAACTCAACTATTGTACCTCTACATTCACCAGTAAAAATTGATGTTGAGTAAACAGTTTTCATGTACTTCTTCACTCAACTTAGACATTTCTCTTTTTAATGTTGACTTAAAAGTGATTGTTTGGTTGATTTCATGCCTTTTACCCAATATTCTTAATATTCTGCAGCTTATATCTGTTTACATTTACAACTTCTTCAAATATTTTCTTCCTGGTCTGTCCACTTTTCTTGTTTCTTATCCTTAGGAAGAACACTCCACCCTATCAAAGTTGGAAAGAAAGATAGCAGCTTCTGGTATTTAGAAACTTATTTTTCCCGAAAAGGTGTTTTAAGAGAAAGATTTTATAAATTTCAACAGAAAGCAGTATTGGCAGCTTAGTCAATGAATGCCAAATGTTTCCTTAGCAGGAAATGGCTAATATTACCTTTATCATCATATAATTTTTGATTGATTCATTTTCTACAGCTTATCAACCATTTGCAGGTTATAATATATAATGAAATCAAATAGAATTGGAACTCAGGTCTCCAATTAAAAATTTCAAGTCATTATCCATTACATCACCTGCACCTCCAAGCTTACAATACATAGTATTCCCAAGTGATCACCCATCTAAGCACTGACCAGGCTCAACATTGCTTAACTTTGGTGATGATACAAGAACCGGTGTTTCAATGATCATTATATAAATATATCCTGAAATTTTTACAAAGATTAGTTGGTTATTAAACAATTTTATAGTTAAAAAAATTTACTTGTATAAGGTGTGACATTGTGTGAAGAAGAATTTTATCAAAAATAAACTTGGGCTACTTTCAGAGTTAACTTGAATAGGAGAAAGAACATTAAAATTGACAGTGGTCATTAAAATATATAATCTTGATTTATGAATGCATTAGCTGCTTCTCTGCCATTATTTCAATTCAGAACAGAAAAGTATTCTTTTATATGCTATGACTCTACAGAATGTGGGTAATTATATCTTTTCACATCTTAAAGGGTCATGGCACATCTTGTCTGTTGTACCTCTAAACCATGTTTATCCTTTTACTATTATCCTGTTCTGCCAGCAATTTACACATGATTGTTAGGGTAGATTACTTGCTTATTTCTTGTGCCTCTCTTGCCTTCAGTAATTTCTGTAAGTGTCAAATTCTCCAAACTACATTTCTCATCATGTGTCCCAGAAATTTCACTTATCCCTTTCTGAATCAAAGTTCAAGTATCCTTTATATTTCTATTTACCATGTTTTCTCTATGCTGTCTCCAGCATCATTTGATAGAACCATATCTTTGTTGCCTGAAATTGCTTCTTCATCTGTGAAGAAATTGTTCAGAATTTACTGCCACATAGGAGGATTGATATTACATTGCAATTCAGCACTTTTTATCCTGAAGAAATTGGAAGCTATGTTTTGAAAGAATTTGGTTATAACATATATATTTATTTTCTGTAGCAATAAAATAGATGCTGTCTGATAATAAAGATAAAAATAGGAATATTTGTTTTGCAAGAAACCATGTGCATATATGTATACTGGCATGTATGTAAATAAGCTTTTATATATACGTATAAGTGTATAGTAGGTTTCTGCAAGATTCTGATGCTGAAAAATCACAATGTGTTTCCTTTCTCTAGATCCAAAAGATCAACAAGAAAAGCATAACCAAGGACCTTTTGTGTTAATATCACTTACAAGTCAGAGGTTAACTGAGTGCTTTTAGAAAGGTAAAAGAAGGCTTCTTTTTAGTATACAAGAGAAGATATAGCAAAACAGAGAAAAGCATACTTCTAGATGAAGCAAAACGAATAGATGCCCTGAGCGAGAATCTTTTGAGAGAAACTTGAATTGCTTCAAGCTAAATGGTCACTGTGGAGAAGAGAAAGGTGTTATATTCAGTTGTTGGACACGCAGTCACCTGAGACCTAACTAGCCATGAGTTCAGAAATTTTTAAAAGCCAGATTTGAGCTTACATGAAGTTTCTTAAGAAAAGTCCATGGCAGTTCAAAATATTTATTATTCATGAAAAATATGAAGTATTTTTTATACAAGAAATAAGTAGCTACTTTTAAAAGATCAATTCTAAATAAAGGTTACTTTATTTTTTTATCATGATATAGAGATATGATACTGCCAGTTCTGCCTTTAATTTCATTTCATAGTTATTTTTTAAAGCTGAACAATTTTAAATACTGCCTTAAATTAAATACAATGTGTATATATTGTTTTTATAACTTATGGTTATTTATTTAATTTTTAACTCAAAATACAAATAGACTTTCACTATTAAAGACTGCACACTTTGTCTTTTTAAAATTGTTTTAATAGTAAAAGAAAAAGACGTTTTTGCATTATAACATCATCTAAATCTAAGGAAATATTTTCAAAATTGTATATTTTTTCATAATGATTTTCAATACATTTGATTTATTATAATTTTTACAAGAAAAGAAACATAATACAAACTTAATTCTCTTTAAGCCAAAAGGTTGCAGATTAATCATTGATTCTATTATTTTTTTTACTGTTTTAGCTTACATGAATATACACCTTAGATTAAAGGTTCTAAATACTACATTAGTGATTCTCCATATCAGGAAAGGAAAGAATATGATGAACCAAGGTACATTTAAAGTTTAAACAACTTTACTTTTACTTTTCCTAATTCCTAATCAACAATAGTCAACTGTTATTTCATTTTGCTTTTACAGTAATGTTCACCCTGTACAAGGCCCAAGAGCCACTCCAGATAGAGGGTTACAGAGTAAGAGGCACAGTTTATGAGGATATGTGTGGAAGATAACAGTTAACTCTAAACTTAAACAGATTAAGATTATAATGATTGTGAAAGCATCCTTTTGGGAGTTGGTTCCACAAAGTAGGAAGATACTGTATGAGGAGAACCTACATCTCACTAATAGAATACAAAGAGAATGAGGGTGATTCGCTAAAATGTTTATGGCATGGTGAGTTTTAACCATGAAGCTTAGAACTGGTGGAACTAAGGAATATTAATATGAATACATTGCATCGAAATAGTGATAAAATAGCAAGAGGCTTGTATCATCTCATCTATGGAAAAGGGGTTGTAAGGTGGATAATGATTCATCAACCACAAGGATTCAAAGAATCTTTTGGATTATTGAGACTGGAAGTCAAAACTGGAAGTCAAAATTGGACAGCAGTTCTCCATTTTTGGTCTGACCTGGCGATGTTTTGGGTGATGTGCCCTCTAGTCTTCATCAGATTGCTCATAGGATCCCAAGATCAATATATTGATCTGGGTAACCTATGAGCAATTCTAAAGTGAACCTTTTATTTAATCTACAGGGATAGACTGTTCTCATTCCTCTGTCCATTAAAGTAACAGTATTTTGTATTTTTTAACCCTTTTGTATCTGGTCTTAAGATTTTGACCAGGAGTCCAGGAAATCCTTATAAATTTGACGTTTTACCATTTATTTAGTTTCATCAGAAATTTTAAGATTGAAATGATTCAGAGTTATAGTTAATTTTTTAAAATATACTGAAATATAACTTCAAATGTTGCCAGACATTTCCTACTTGCTCCATATTTAATCCTTATGTTGTGTTTAATCCCTATTTTCAAATTATATGAGAGGAAAAAAACTTTTTTTTTTTAATTTAACCTAATAAGGATATAGATTTGGCTTTATAATTAGGAAGAAATGTTTACTATCAAAGCATTTAGTTTTCTGATTTTTGATGACAAATCCAAAACCAGTGAATAAAAAATATAAATGAAGCCAATAAATATTAAGAGTATAAGGAAATTTATTGCAAACATTTCTTTATACCTAAATGGAACAAAATTTAGTCTGTCAAATGGGATCCATTGAGGTACTGGATATTTTTTAAACTTGGTTTGTTATCTGGAAACATACAAACATTGAACAAAGTTTCTTTTTCAGTTAAAATTAAACAAATTTAACTTCTTCAATCTTACTCTATGCAACTTCAAGAGAGAAAAGCCAGCAGGAAGAACTTTAATCCATTAGTTCATTACACAATGAAAAGAAAGCAGTCATGAACTGATGATTTAAATAAAGATTAATTGTTGGAAAGGACAAAATATTCCACCATTTGCATTTTTTTCTCTATGAGTTAAAGAAAAAAAAACAATTGTATTTTGGGTGCTTCTACATTCCTCAATTTGTAAGAATTCTTTTTTAATGATGCATTGCTTAGCTTTAGGGTAATATTCAATTTGCATTATACATGACAATTGAACTCTTAAATTCTTTCGAAAACACTGTCTTTTTTTCAAGTCACGACAAAACTTTTTTTTTTTTTGAGGTAACGTGATAACTTCTTTTCAGTGGTGAATAAAGAAAAACATCAACAGTGTAATATGTAAAACATTTTATATTCTATTGCCAGTGTGCTACCAAGTGAGTGAGTTTAAAATCTTTGAGAAGTTTTGTAGATTAAAAGACTAGAATAAATTCGGTTTTGTACCACTTACAGTGAATTGATGGCAGGTACAAGATATAAACTTAGTTGTTTGGTAATGAATATTTCATGACAATCAACATTTGCATGTGTAAGTAAAGAATGTTCTCAAAGATGTTACATGATCTGCATGCCAATTTAAAGAATGGTAAAACCATTTTATAAATACGAAAATATTCTTCATGAAAATGATGATCATGAATTTGATTCTCAAAAAAAGATTTTATTTAGCAAGCCAAACGCAAGTGCTAAATATAAGATCATTGAAAAGGGTATTTGCATTGCCATGCTGCACATAGGTAGGTGCATGTATTTCTGTTGGGCAACCCTGAGGCCACATTATACTTTGGTTTTAGCCACCTTCTGGCCAGTTTGTATTGCTATAGGCAATAGATAGTGATAATTATTTTAGTCTTTTTCTTAAAACAAAATCTTCTCATGACAGATACAATGAAAAGAAATATGAGAAAACCAGTAAACAAAAACATCACCTACCCACTTCAAATTTTCTTTCTCCAATATTCATTGAATATGCTCCAATTTCTGCAGTGTAGTATCTTTTCTCCTGAAACGTTCTCCAGATATTTTGGCACACTGCAAAACCAATTTAAATTCTTCTATTGCTATAAATGAATTTTCTGTTCTGTCAAAAAATTCTAGGATACATTAGGTCTTAGTGTTTATATCTGGGAAAATATTCAAATTTCAAGGTTCCCAGATGATTCTTTTATGTGCTTTCAACTCCTCATTATTGCATTCTGTTAGTCATCTGTTTTCCCTTTATTGCTCTCATTCTAAGGACTAATAATATTAGACAAAATGTCTGATAATATATCTCTACATTCATCTGCAAAGATTTTGTGTTTGATGATTTTAATGCTCATCACATCAAGTGGGTTAAGCATTCTAATGTTACTGATGTGCAGTCTTTCAATTTTTCTATTACTCAGTCTCTTAATTCCCTAATCTTTTTCCTAATAAATCTGATCAACATGCTTTTTGACTTGATTTGTTCCTTACCTCCTTTCCTAGCCCTTCATGAGAATTATTTACAACACTTTTCTGCTACCAGCATACCGATTGGGATTCATTTCATGACCTTCTTCAAGATGCACCTTAGATTGATATTCTTAACCTTCCTATTGAGAATTGTGTCACAGAGATTTCTTCTTGAGTTAAAGCATTTATATTTTTGTTCCTT